ACCCAAGTGCAAGGCTGATCTTTCACCGACAGATCTCGAGGGTTAGACACTAGTGAAACTAGGGCGAGAAAATGCCAGTTGCTCAACTAGTTGATTCTACAGTTTCAGCAAGAAAGTGGCTGAGTCATGCTTCTTGGTTATCTTGTGCTGGCAGAAATGGTCACGGGATTTCAAATGGGAGAAGTTCACTCTTGCCCTGACAAAAGAAGAAAGCTTGGATGTGGAAAGTGAGGCCAGGACTAGTTCTCTCTTTTGCAGAAGTCAGCTTCCCAAAGGCACTGCTGACAGCAAGAGTGGCACAGGCATTTTAGACTGCTTGGCTCTTTCAACTCAAAGGTCCTGTGTAGGGAATTCTGCCATCTCATGGTGACCCATCAAAACACTGCGTCTGAAGAGATCTCCTTGAAACCATTTAGTGAAATATTTGCTGTCTGTACAGTATTAGGCAGAGTGCCCAGGAGAGGCAGAAATTAGGGGGCGGGGGACTGGGACCAGGCCTCCCTTTTCTGTGAGTTTATAGTCTGGCTGAAAGTCAGACATAAACAAAACTTAAATAATGCAAAACAAAGATATGGAAGACATCAAAAGACAGCAGCTAATTGCCAAGTGGCTGACATAGTGGCGGTTTTCAAGCTCAGTGTAAAGAGCCTTCAGCATGGCCTGGAGTGACACAGAAGCCGTAGGGAGTCTTGCAGGGAGCCTTGCAAGATAGTCGCAGTGAGGGTGCTCAAGGCCAAGGGACCTTGGGCCTGCAAAAACACAGAGCAAGAAGTGTGAGGCATGATGGGGTAGTGAGAGACGCAGTTTGCTTGAAGGAGGGGCTTTCTGAGGGGAGGGTGGCTCAAAACCAAACTCAGGAGTCAGGAAGGTATTTCCTGGCTGGCATCGGGCAAGAATTTAAAAATGCTGATTTCTGGGCTCCCTTATCAACCTGGGTACATATGCATTTTATTTTATTTTAATTATTATTTATTATTTTAATTAATTTTATTTATTTGTTTATTTTAATAGTGGTGGGGTTTTTTTAACCCTTACCCGAGGATATGTTTATTGATTCTAGAAAGAGGAAGAGAGAGGAAAAACATCAATGTGAGAGAAACATCTTGTATGTGCCCCAAGTGGGGACTGAACCTATAACCTAGGTATGTGCCCTGACCAGGAATCAAACCCACAACCTTTTGGTGTACGAGATGGCTCTCCCACCAGTTGAGCCACCCGGCCAGGGTGGGTACATGCATTTTAAGCATTTTAAACAAACACCCAGGTGGATCTTACGCTTCGGATGTCAAAGGTTTCCGAACAGAAGGCAATACTGAGTGGTCCATGTCAGTCTGGTGGGGAGACAGGGGGTCGGAAGCAGAAGCAGAAACCGTAAAGCAACCCTGACTGGTAATGGGTGGAATCCGAGTCAGGTTAATTCTGATGTGGCCTCACATTTTCGCTCCCCGTGGAACCCTGCAACCCTGGGCAGGGTCCTCACCACTCTCTTCCCAGATTAGTCAAACCTGGGTTGGAGTCCTACCNTTTTCAAGTTCAGTGTAAAGAGCCTTCAGCATGGCCTGGAGTGACACAGAAGCCGTAGGGAGTCTTGCAGGGAGCCTTGCAAGATAGTCGCAGCGAGGGTGCTCAAGGCCAAGGGACCTTGGGCCTGCAAAAACACAGAGCAAGAAGTGTGAGGCATGATGGGGTAGTGAGAGACCCAGTTTGCTTGAAGGAGGGGCTTTCTGAGGGGAGGATGGCTCAAAACCAAACTCAGGAGTCAGGAAGGTATTTCCTGGCTGGCATCGGGCAAGAATTTAAAAATGCTGATTTCTGGGCTCCCTTATCAACCTGGGTACATATGCATTTTATTTTATTTTAATTATTATTTATTATTTTATTATTTTAATTAATTTTATTTATTTATTTATTTATTTATTTATTTATTTATTTATTTATTTTAATAGTGGTGGGTTTTTTTAACCCTTACCCGAGGATATGTTTATTGATTCTAGAAAGAGGAAGAGAGAGAAAAACATCAACGTGAGAGAAACATCTTGTATGTGCCCCAAGTGGGGACTGAACCTACAACCTAGGAATCAAACCCACAACCTTTTGGTGTACGAGATGGCTCTTCCACCAGCTGAGCCACCTGGCCAGGGTGGGTACATGCATTTTAAGCATTTTAAACAAACACCCAGGTGGATCTTACGCTTCGGATGTCAAAGGTTTCCGAACAGAAGGCAATACTGAGTGGTCCATGTCAGTCTGGTGGGGAGACAGGGGGTCGGAAGCAGAAGCAGAAACCGTAAAGCAACCCTGACTGGTAATGGGTGGAATCCGAGTCAGGTTAATTCTGATGTGGCCTCACATTTTCGCTCCCCGTGGAACCCTGCAACCCTGGGCAGGGTCCTCACCACTCTCTTCCCAGATTAGTCAAACCTGGGTTGGAGTCCTACCTGACAGCCACTAGCAGGCTGGTCACAGCTGAGTCCCTGCCCCTCTGAGTGTGTCACTGTCACAAGTTTAAATGTATCATGTATAGCAATGGTTCTCAATCACCTCCCCCAATCAGAAGCATCAAGCGAGGGGAGGGGGAATAGTGAAATATATTTCAATAAAATGCCTTGGCATCGAGTTTTTTAAAGTCTTCCCAGGTAACTATATTTGCAGCCAAGGCTGAGCCCACAGACGGAGTGGAATGAGCCTGCTCCGAGCACACGCTCCGGGAGTGGAGCGGGCGGGGCGAGAAGACCGTGAACCGGGTGGGGTGGCGGTGCCTGGGCCACCGAGGCAGCTGCTTCCGTTTTTTGCTCAGACAGGGCAGGCCCCACTGTCACCAGATCTTCCAATTTTTCAAGAAGTTACAAGTTTAGATTTTTAACTGAAATGGCAACTAGCTAAAATTTATTTAAAAAACAAAACAGAGTTCTGTGTGGGCCAAAGCAAGCTGGCTGGTGGACATACTCAGTTCATGAACCACCGGTCGGTGGCCTGTGCTGCGAAGGCAGATGGACCTGCGGGGAGATGCCTGTTTGGCCACTGGCTTTGGGAAAGTTACTTCACCCACCTAAGCCTGGGCGTGAGGGGAGTAAAACCTCCCCAGAGGCCTAAGGAAAGAGGCGAGGGTTGGAAAGCGATGGGCCCCTGGCACGTGGTGCCTGCTGACTCAAACACCGCTTGCTTTCATCTTATCTTTCCCAGCAACGGTGTCCTGCCCCAGCTAACCTCAGATCCGGGGTCCTGGTCAAACCCCTCCACCAGACCCGGCCTCAAGCCCACACTGCGGCTCCAGCCTCCCCGACGCCGGGTGGGCAGCGGGGCGCCCCG